CCATAAGAACCCCCCCGACCTCCTCCAGTGTAGATCACTCATTGTTTGACCCTCACTTCATCTATAGAGGGAAATTGGTTTTTACTCCATCATAAATCTTCAAAAGCGTTACTGTACTGGAACACTGGAAGATTAATGTTTTCACCGTGTTTGTGTTTCATCATCTTTATATAAAAAGGGCACCATCACTTCTGTGAGCGTGTCGAGGTAAGAAATGTGTATAACCAGATGAAGTCTACCAAGAGCTGTTTGTGTCCAAAACAGTGGAGCATTAATGTAGCCTATACCTTACCAGTCACTACTGGCCTGATGAAAGAACGTGTACTTAAAAGATAACACCTAAAGCTTAAAACACTAACTTTGGGATTTAGGATCCAATTTAGACGAACTTGCATCGAACAATGTGTGATGGTAAATGATTTTGGAGCACTGTGATATGATGGGTCACTCACTGTATGACAGTGGCATTCCTTGGGACCTTGGCCTCAATTGAAATCTATTCATGGAATTCATCTTCAGATATTTCTCTAGGCACAGATTAATCAGGAAAAGCCCTATGGAAATAATACTAAAATTGTATTACACCCTTGATGTTCTGTAGCTCACTTATCCAAGAGTTTTATTTATTGATTTATTTTTTACGTAAGATCGTGCGCGGCCATTTGTACCTTGAATATACGAGGCTTCCGGTGTCATTCACTAGTTATTTTACCTGCAGGCTACAAAAACAGACAGTTGTTGTACCATGTTATTTTAACTCATTATCATAATCATAAACACACTGGTTTGTAGCGCAAACAGTTTTAGCGTTCACTGCACTTCGTTATTCTTGTAGTTATTTACATAATGGCTAATTAAGTTTTGCAGGAAATAGCTAACTTCTTGTGAAATAAAGTAGACTAGTTCTAAAAACTAGATAATATGACAAAACCAACTGATTTAAGGGAAATCCAAGACCATATTGTGCAATCTAATTGATGATGAATCTCACATAGGCTAATCAAACATGCTTTTGGATACAAAAATAATGTATTAAAAGTAATGCTGTCAAACGATTAATCGCGATTAATTGCATCCAAAATAAAAGTTTTTGTTTACATATGTACATGTACTGTGTATATTTATTATGTATATATAAATACACACACATGCATGTATATATTTCAGAGAAATATGTTATTTTTAGATATTAAATGTATTTATTTATAATATAAATTATATGAATAGAAATATAGACATGTAAATATTTTCAAAATATATACTGTATGTGTATTTATATATACATAATAAATATACACAGAACACACACATATATTATGCAAACAAAAACTTTTATTTTGGATGCGATTAATCGTTTGACAGAACTAATTAAAATAATGGAAAACATTTAACATAAACAAATATTTAACGTCCCATAAGGCCAATATTATGACCAAAATCGGATCAGAATCAGCTTTATTCGCCAAGTGTGCGCAAACACACAAATAATTTGTTGTTTTTTTAAGGAGCATACATACATACATAAATACATACATAGGCCTATCTGAAATGAGAACAGAAATCATTTAAATAAGACTTAACAATAAATAATAATGTATGAATCTGGATGGAACAGAAGATTTATGTACAGATTTGTGCATTATTGAAATATGTTTTAAGTATATGCTAAATATATGTTGTAAACAGTAAGCTCCATGAAACTTATTTTTTGAAAGTGAAAATATAGTTTTCAAATTTTCAGGTGCAGTTTCTAATCTTACAGTAGGTTGTTCTTCAAATGTGACTTGAATGCATTTTCTTGGATTGAAATATATGGAGGCCAGGCCAAACATATATATTTTTAATGTTTTTAAAATATATATTTATATTTTAAAAATATATTTTCAAAAATATACAAAAAAAAAAAGGCCAAAAATATAGACTATTGAAAGAAAATATAAGCTACTTATGCATTTTGGAACACATTTTAGCAAATATATATTTTGGCTTTTTTTTTTTTGATGCTGTCTATAACGAGGCATATTGTCACAATGAAACCTGCCATTAATTATATATTTTTAAAAAAGGCCAAAAATATAGACTATTGAAAGAAAATATAAGCTACTTATGCATTTTGGAACACATTTGAGCAAATATATATTTTGGCTTTTTTTTTTATGCTGTCTATAACGAGGCATATTGTCACAATGAAACCTGCCATTAATTAAAATGCATCTTTTTAATGGATTTAATAAAAAAAAATTAAAAAATGAAACAAAATATTAAAATAGCTATTTTGGGCAAAAGTATGATGTTCTTAGTTTAGAAGAATTCACAAATATCATTGTAATCTAAGACAGTTTTGAATTATGAGTTTAAAACTAATATACAAAGGTGCTTCGGAGAAATTTGACTTTTGGCTCGAAACCTCACAGACACAGTGCATTTTATTATTGTATAGACTATAGATCATCTCAGTACAGCCAGTGATGTCTGTGCTCATGACCATAACAAAGCAACAACGCCAGAGTGGCTTCCAGCCCGGTTTGAAGTTCTTGGAGGGCAGAAACGAGCTGAAGCTGCTGCGTGCGTGGGTCCTGCATTCATTAATTCAGCGAAGTCTCGCGGTGTTCACGCAACTTCTCAGACATCTTGCGTTTGTCAGACCGCTTCGAATCTGCTACACACACGAGCAGAAACGCAGCAAGCTCGATCGCCATCACACCTTCACATGCGGGGCTGAACTGAGTTTGCGCGTTCGAGACACTCAGAGAGGATCGCGTGCGGCGTTATTTTCGTATTGTGCGTCATTTCTGCATTTCTGTGCGTTTCCACCCAGGCAATATGGCAACACCCGCCGCTGTAAACCCATCGGGTGAGTAGCGATTTTACCCCTATGCTTTTAAAAACAACGTATGTGGTGTTTAAACGAAAACCGAACGTCGGCTTTTTACGCATGTTGTGTTTTCGCGCTAACAAAAGAAACCGCGACGCTTTAAACGCACGCGAGCACCCCCTCCCCCCCACGCAAGTAACAACAGCGACATTTAGAATTTTAAAACGCTACATTGTATCATCACGTATATAGTAGTTATAATAACGTTCGTTCTTCATAGAACGCCGTGCGAGTGTATTGTGACGTCAGAACCAAATATATCACACTTGGCTCTATTCTGCCGCGGCTTGTTGCTAATGCAAATTAGATGCTGAATACATTTGCCACAAGCTTGTACGTGCTTTGATTTCCTTGATAAGCGACTGTTGGATCTGATACGTTGCTTATGGGTCTGTAATTGTGATGTGAGGTTATTGTGTTATGAGATGGAGCGCATAACACACATAACCGCTTTACTTCCTCTGCCTGTTGATTCCATTGCGAAATGGATGTGAAATAGTCAAGTTTATTGTCATATCTACAAATCGGTTTTGCAAATATAATGCTGATTTTGATGCTTCTGTGACAACAGACCGACAAATAATGATCACTATGTACAAATAAGCAGCAGGAATGAGACAAAACGGTAAATTGACAGTGCGAGATGTAAACATAAGCAACGAAGTTGGTGAAAGACTGTCATGAGCTCATGCAGATAACTTTTTAATGCAAGTTTACATGAATGCGTGAAGTTTTTAGTCACTGAATAGAGAAAGACTGTTGAATTGTTTCTGTTTCGGGTTTTAACGCTGCCCTGCCTCCAGAGTCACGATGTTGTGGGCATTTGTGGTCTATTTTAGTCATTACAGAATGGTCTCAAGAATGGTTTAGATATTTATCAGCCCAGAACAACAACCAAAAAGGATGTTGAAGGTCAAACTTATGAAAAATGAATTTAAATCATATTTAAAATAGCAGAGATGCACAGGTATAGAAATGTTGGAAAGTCAGAAGTCATGCTTCAAATGGATTCAGGCATCAAACATTTATAACTCTGTAAAGCCCAACATATGAAATGCATTAGATTTTTCAGACTTTTTAAAAATGCAACCGTTTATTTAATGCACAGTTTATTTAATGCATCAGTTTTATTCAGAGGCCCAAACTGAGCAAAAATAAGCAATTTGGTGCAGTTGTTGTTATTTATGGCCAAAAAGTAAGATACGATTCTGAGAGCTTTTAATGTAAATCAATGAGATGTTTAGGCTATAGCAGACTACATGCATAACCCTATATCTCCCAGTAATATGACTTAGTAAGATGATTTTTAAATGCTTAGTTTTAATGATCAAAGCTCTATAGTTTCAAAACATAAAATGCAAGGCAACACGATGATTGAGAGGCGAACAAATAAGCATTCCTCAAAAGCCCGATGGGTCATATTTCATACTCCCATTTCTAACATTTTCTACAAAGCGATGTATGATAATCAAGTAAACCTAAGTTGCTTTAGTCCAGTAAGTGTTCGTCTTGAAATGTAACTAAAAATATAAAAGTTAAAATCTTATGTTTACTTTATAAAGATCAGTAAAGATAGGGAGACAATTGTACTGAAAAGGCCTTTTGCTTGCTGAAAAAGTATGAACCACCTATCAGATGACAGAAAGCATGTAGAAGATTATGTGCAACAGGTTTTTGGAAATGTTTTTATCATGTTGATAATTTAGATGCTTACCTTAGAAATTCACACATCAGCTATTTTACAAAAGCACAATATTATCTGCTTCTAGAATTGTCCTGATAAAACTGATGCTCTGTTTAAAAAGATCATCTGATAAACCTCATGCAACAGACTTCAATAAAACAAACTTGTTTAGTGATTGTTCACAGGAAACATGTCACAGAAGCCTACTGCTGCTCAGTTTATTTAGTCACTTGCTAAAGTAAATTACACTCCATGACTCCATTGCTTCCACGAACACACTTTCCCCCAGCGGGGCAATTCCTTCCCCACCACCGACCTCATTGTAAATGCAAATGAGTCAAAATGAATAAAGAATGTGAGCGTTATAAGCACCTGGTTGACATGCCGAGCTGCCAAGCACACTTTAAAATGCACAAGAGCATTCTGGGATTGAGTCACGTGACTGTAGTTGAACTGAGGGGCACTTTGTTTTAAAGTCAGCTAGCTTTTATTTCACTTGCTTAACAAATCTGCAGGCCATCTGTACTTTTCCCGTTATTCCCACAATGCTTAACAAAAGGCCCCAGTTGCAGCACGCCCACGATAAGAACGTGTTTTGTACAAATAGCACTAGGTTTGTGAATGGGGATTACAGGCACAGTTGATTAGCCACAGTTCGGACTGTTTGCCGACCTCTTGTGTTTGTGAAGGAAGCCTCTCTGTTGAAAGCAGTGACTGATAACAGGACTGACCAGAAGTGTAGCATTGCTAAGAAGGAATTGTGTGCATATGGTGTGCTGCATGAGCTGGCAAATGCTAAAGAATTGACTTTTTCTCGTTTTCATTTCTGCCTTGCTGGATTTGGGCTTTGAGAAAGGCTGAGATTGATATATATATATATATATATATATACTTGACAGTATAAGTGTGTGAAATATGCTTTACTGTTTATACCGTATTCCGCTGATACGTTTTACAGATGTGTGTTTATTTGCTGTTTATCATTTTAAAGTCAGAACCACCTGTTTTATGATATTTATAATGTTTTGAGTCTTATGTTTTTGGTTGTCCGTCTCATCATGTGAAGCTATTCATTTGTATATACTGTATATAATCTGGTGTTTTGGTTAAATGGCCATCAGTGTTGTTAAAACAAAATTTTTGGTAAGTGAAATAAAATTTAAATGTTAGATGTAAAACTTGGAAATGGAAAGTAGAAATGTTGCACTGCTAAGTTAAAGTCCTACTAAAATGACTAAAACTAAAAATAATAATGAAAAATAAAAATTAAAGGGAAAGTTTGCCCAAAAACGAACATTCTGAAAACCAAATATTTGCTGGTAGCCATTGAGCCATTTGAAAAAAAAAAAACTATTTAAGTCGATGGCTACCGGCAACTGTTTGGTTGCCAACATTTTTCTCTTCAAAAAATCTTCTTTTGTGTTCAGCAGAAGAAAGAAACTCATACAGGTTTGGGACAATTTGTGGGTGAGTAAATGATGACAGAATTTTCATATTTGTGTGCACTATATCTTTAAATCAAAACTTTTAGTAAATAGTATAGAAATAATACTAAAATCACAATGATGCACATGGTTCATAACATTGCAGTTTGTCTCAGCGATGCCATACACTTTTATTTCGTTTTCTGAAGGGATTTAGAACCTTATAAAGAGACCTTGGTTGAAATTTCTGTGAAATAATTGGACACGCATTTATATCAGTGGAGTTAAATGGGTTGTTTTATCGATGTAAATACCTCTCTGCAATAATAGAGCAACATTTCATTTCGCTGAACGTTTCCTTGCATTTCTATGTGCTACACGTTTGCCATCAAGTCCTATTTATTGTGTACAAACCAAGTTTCTAATCACCAAATAGACATTGTTGACAAGTTGTTTGTTGTTTTGCCAAATTAGAAAGTTGCATTCAGAACGAATAATTTTTGCTGGTTAGTTTCAGTAACAAACAGAAGTTTTGAGTTCTGAAAGTTGAACTCTTTGATGACCTAAATTTTCATTATATGGCCCATTTAATTCTGATGTGCGTGCTGAGTCCATCCTTGCATGAAACATTTGCAAGTGATTGGACTTCTGTCAAGAAATACAGCATTGTGCTCATCCGTCAGTTTCTGTAAGCTCTTGAAATGAGAATAAAGCTAAAAAAGTCACTGAGGACAATTACACATGCATTACTGAAGCATGCTTTCGATTTTTCTGTTGACCATCATGTCTGAAATATCCCGAACGTTTGGCAGTGTGAACTTTCTTTGGCTGCGTAACAATAGACAGAAGAGAAGAGTCAATCTTCACATGTGCGTGCTATCAGAGGAAGGATGTTAATTCAATAGTTTGTAATTTCTTCCTTTAAACTTGTAGGTTTCTGAACCATCCCTGCTCGGAAGCACTCAATTGAGAAACTCTTTTCTGCATGGAAATGTGCCAAGTGTCGCTTCGACCTCATCGGCACCCAGAGATCATTATACTGCTTCAGTCGCACTGAATTGCTGCTTTCACTCTCTTTTAAGTGCTGCTGGAGAGTAAAGGAACTAAATGCTTTACTACTGAATGGGTTATTTTCCGTTCTTCATTTTTGGTCGTCCTTGTGTTAAGAATGGCCTGATTCCATCTTTTTCTGTCACGGCTTCTGGTTTTATAGGGTTTTAGCAATGATATAAAAAGGTTTGGTAGTCCATTCTGACATTTCTATGGTTTGCTCAGATGAAAATAATAGACAGGGCTGCAAACTCAGTAAAATTTACTGCTTTGAAATTTGTGTTTTGTATGTAATTTGTAATGATTAGTTTTTTTTTTTTCATGGAATGGTGCAAGAGAGAAAGGCTCAAATGTTACAAAAAATTACCTTGTCAAAAGGAGTTTTTTTTCTTTCTCTCATTTAATGTGGTATTTGTTGTAAGTCCATGTAAATGTCAGCCCTGAAAATGTGTTTTCGTGGCCGGTCATGTGCTTGACTATCAGTTCACTCAAGGACTGACAACTTTCAAGGTCTACAGAGAAAAACTTTTCATTTACTAGTAATATAGCAAAAATTGCCTACACACGAGTTATTATTGGCTGGATATTTGGCCATTTTGAGATCATCATCAGTGGACAATGATCATGTTGGTTTGATGAATTAACAAACTAGCATTGGCTCTCTTTACCAGCAACCCAATTTGTTTTCATACATTTAAGTTTGAGAATGTTAATATTATTGCCACCTTTAGTGTGTAGCCTGTGTGCGCATCTCAATTGCTATAATTCAGTTGTAAGTGATATAGACCTCATGGGTTGATCTTTTTGTTCTTTTGCTCACCAAAGCTGCATTTATTTAATCAAAAATACAGTTAAAACGGTAAAATTGTCAAATATTATTACAGTATTAAATAACTGTTTTTTTTTTATTGGAATGTATTTTATTCCTGTGATCAAAGCTGAATTTTCAGCATCATTACCCCAGTCTTCAGTGTCACATGATGCTGCGGAAATCAGTCTAATATGTAATGTTGAAAACACTTGTGCGGATTCATATTTTTGTGGAAACTGCAATACAATTTTTTTTCAGGATTCTTTAATGGATAAAAAGTTCAAAAGAACAGCATTTATTTGAAATGGAAATATATCGTAACAGTATAAATCTCTTTGCTGTCACTTTTGATCAATTAAAAGCATCTTTGCTTAGTAAAAGCATACTTAAAAAAAAAAAAAAAAAGAAAGTTTTACTGACCCAAACTTTCAAACAGTAATCTGTATGCATTATTTCAAGAACCCTACTCTTTATCATCGGCCATTGAAACGCCAAAATCGACTGAGCCTCTGCCGCTTACCCACAATCCTGTGCTGAATCTCAAGTCCTGATAATCCAGATCTGAATCATTCCTCCAAAGAAATCAATTTGTCTAAGTTTATCCGTCACAGCACAGATCCGACAGCGTGGTGTTCTGGGAAGGTTTTCTTTACGCTTTGATTGAAGAATTTGCTCGTTTGGAGCGTTTTTGTCTCAATGGAGTTCGCTTCTCACACAAAACACAAAACGAGACATGCTGTCCACATGTATAAAGAGCTCAGCCATTACATGCGATCCTAAGGGACGGGACCCGGTACCAAGTGCCGTGTGGATGCTTTGTTTAGGGGCGGATCTGAATGAAACAGGCCTCTGGTCATTAGAATGATTCGGAGGAGAGAAGAGAGAGGAGCGTGTGAGCTGTTGAGTCCTGATTTACAATGAGAGACAGCAGTGTCCTTCACTCCGTCATACGAGACAGATGAATGAGTTTGACCTGAGGGCTTTCTGACAGAGAACGACAACGGATTAGGGAGTTTTAGAAAGTTATGCAAAGCAGTGAGGTGTCTGAAAAGGAGATATTTTGAAGAATGTTCGCACAGCTTTTTCCATGCGGTGAAAGCATACGGTGACCAGCACTAAAAAAACATTTGAACCCTGTACAGCCTGTCTTATGAAACAGTAGTCCAAAAAAATCTATTTTTTTAATTGGATATATATATATATTTTAATATTTTTTAATAACAGTTTTTTTGAATGTTTAGACAGAATCTAAATTAACAAACCTGCCATATTTGCTTCATCAGGTAGCAATGCGTGATATAAGAATATGGAGGAAAAAAATGATTATTTATTTATTTTTTTTGTTCAGAGTCTCAAGCTGAGCAAAAATATGCAATTTGGTGTGGATGCTGATATTTATATGGCCAAAAAGTAAGATGAAATTCTTGCTTGTAATGGAAATCAATGAGATCTGTATAATAGTATAACAGACTACTATTTATAGGCTAAAGTTGTCACTCTGTATCTCCCAATAATAAAATTATAATGGGTGTGGATGCTGATATTTATATGGCCAAAAAGTAAGATGAAATTCAGATAGCTTGTAATGGAAATCAATGAGATCTGTATAATAGTATAACAGACTACTATTTATAGGCTAAAGTTGTCACTCTGTATCTCCCAATAATAAAATTATAATGATCAAAGCTTTGTAGTTTAACATGTAATGCAATGCAATACAATGATGATTGTTAGATGAACAAACATTTTTCAAAAACCTGATGCTCATTTTCTAAAAAATTATGTATGATAATCAAGTAAACCTACACTCTTAAAAATAAAGGTACTTCAAAAGGTTCTTCACAGCGATGCCATAGAAGAACCATTTTTGGTTCCACAAAGAACCATCTCTTTCTTACCTTTTTATAATCTGAAGGACCTTCTTTCGCCACAAAGAACAGTTTTTGTGAAACAGGAAGGTTCTGCAGATGTTAAAGGTTCTTTATGGAACCATTTACACAGAAAATATATTATATATATATATATACTGTATATACATACATAAACAGAATAACACTGGTTTGCATAATCTTAAAAGTTAACTTGTGGCAGCCTTAAGCAGTTTTAGCCCGTTTGAATTCCCCTCATGGATTGGGGGTTTCTCTTGTACCTTCATATGTACTGAGGTGTAAGTTTGTAAACCTCATAAATGAATAATGAAAACTCAGCGAAAGGGTCTGCTCAGCTCCAGAGTACAGGAGACTTTATCAAATATTAATATGATTCTGCAATCATCGGGCTGAGCATGTCAGAGTGTGTTCATTTTCTCAGCCAGCTGCTGTTGGCGATGTTAGTCTGTGTGTGTGTCACATACTGATACTGTTTCATTAGTGCAATGGTTTGTGATGCATTTTGTCTTGCTTTGTGACCAGCAACACACAAATACATTGTTTTTATATTTTATTTTATATTTGTGTGTACACTACTGTTCAAAAGTTTGGGGTTAGTACGATAAAAAAAAAAATAATTAATACCTTTATTCTGCAAGTATGCACTGAATTATCTCTATAATGATATAAAAGATTTCTATTTCAAATAAATGTGGTTGTTTTTGTAACGAATCAGCTCATGGGAAATATGAATAATTAATCATAACTAGTTATAATTAATTATGAATATTTTAGATCCGCTGTAGATATTTACTTGACCTCTCAGGGTCAACTGTCTTGTCAATTCTAAGAACGTTAATTTCCTGGTTAAGGGAAATAACTTTCTTACTGTACAATTCTACAAAAGCTTGTAGCATAAATCTGTAGCTACTAATAACCTGTATAACTCATTACGGAAACAACAGTTGCTAGAACTACTGTAATCCTATACAAAACGGTGATGGTAAAATAACTAAAATAAGGTAAAAGTCAAACAAAACAAACAAAAGGGGTCTGTAAGCTGACAGGAGTGTGTTTCGATTATAAGCCTGCATAACAGTATACAATTTCAAAGACAAAATACACGATGACAATAATATACCCAATGACCTGAAGGATCATGTGTGTTCATTCAAAGAAAGGTTTTCCTATTAATTAATTAGCAAAGAAAAGTCCTTCCCTTGTGGATTTTCCCTATGGGCAAGGAAGCGATTTTCTTCACCTAAATTCCAGGAGGTCGTAAATGTATCGGGTGTCAGGGTTACCATGGAACCAGGGGCCTGTTCGGCTTCCTGGGGTGTTACAGAGTATTTGTTAAATCTAGCTAACAAAATATATATTGTGTGTTTGAGTGGTCCAGACGCTACATTTTTGAACTTTTTATTCATTGTAAACATTCAGAAAAATAAAACGTATCACCGTTTCCACAAAATTATTAAACAGCACAGCTGTTTTCAACATTAATAATAATGATAATTGTTTCTTGAGCAGCATATCAGAATTATTTCTGAAGGATCATGTGACACTGAAGACTGGAGTAATGATGCTGAAAATTCAGCTTTGCATCACAGGAATAAATTACATTTTAAAATGCATTCATATAGACAACAGTCATTTTAAATGGCAGTAATATTTCATAATATTACTGTATTTTTGATTAAATAAATGCAGCTTTGGTGAGCATAAGGGACTTCTTTCACAAACATTAAAAAATCTTACTGACCCCAAACATTTGAATGGTAGTGTACTGTGAAATTTGATGTGCATGTTATTGCTCTGATTATATTTTGTCAGCTTTGACGGAGAATTCATAATACGAATACATGTTTGACAAAGAGTAGATGATATGTTCACTGTTTATTCAAAATGTTTTTTAATGCTTGTTATTTTATTTGTCATCTAGAATGTAGATGATCATTGATACACCAGTTGTATGTATGTGAAGTCAGTGTTTCTGTGGTTGATGGGGAAGATGTTTTCGGTCTTTCAGAAATGGGCACGGATCTGCCAGGGCCGGTGGCCATGCCGGGCGCTGTGGTGGGCGCGGGTCAGGTCAGGATGGCGGGAGCCATGCCGGGGCGAGGAGGCAAGCGGAGATCAGCGGGGTGAGTTATTATGCTGAACAGCGTATTATTTTCATAATTGTAGATGCTCTGTAAAGGGGTCATATGATGCAATTTCAAATTTTCCTTTCTCTTTGGAGTGTTACAAGCTGTTTGTGCATAGATAAGATCCCTAAAGTTGCAAAGACTAAAGTCTCAAACCCAAAGAGATATTCTTTATAAAAACGCCCTCCTAAAACGCCTCGTTTAAACACGCCCCCACGTCTACGTCACTGTGTGGGAA